TTTTTTTTTAAAAAAAAAAATAAAATAATTGATTATGCAATGCTTACTAATATGAAGACTTATTACTACCTAATAATCATGCTATTATTTATTTATTTTATTAATTATAAAATTAATAACCCAATTTTTTTTAAAAAAAGGTTAAAAAATTATATTAAAATCCCTTTGAGATTTTTTTTATTTCTTTTTTTATAATATATAAAAATTTACAAATAAAAAATAAAAAAAAATATATATATTAAAAGGGGAGGTGATTAACTATTGATAGTATTGTATTGATGGATGAAACCCACTATAATAGTATCTTGAATCTTGTGGATATCCATTCATATCTACGTAGGGGTGTGGTATATTGGGAACTTGTGAGTGAGGCGACATTGGTTGGCGATCCATCATTACAGGACCTTTTGGCGAGTTTGGTTGTGGACCCTGTTTTGTATTTGGTGGTGGTGGAGGTGGTTGTGGTTGACCTGATAACGACTGTTGCTTCTGTTGCTCTAAAAGTTGAATTCTTTGGTGTAGTTTTTGTTGAATACTCTTTTTATCGTCGTTTAATATTGAGTTGTTTTGATTGCTTGGACTATTACTACTTATATTTGGATTGTTTTGATTATTATTGTTATTATTGTTACTATTATTTGAACTTGAACTATTTTGTTGATGCATTGAGGGTTTTGGTGTATGGGGTGTTAACATTTGTATTCTTGGGTCATTATAGTATTCTTTTGGGGTTAGCTGATGTGGTGATACTGGTGTTTTAGGTGTGCTTGGATATATATAATATGGGTATATAAATTTATCAATTTCGCCAAATTTCAATGCATAGTTGTGAAGTCTTTCTTCGATGAGACTGAATCGGCCTTCAGTTTGGACCTTATAATCTCCAAAGCATGCTCTAAGTTCGTCTAGTTTATTATTTTGTGCTTTAACCATATTATTAGTTTCTGTTAATTGATTTTGGCTTTCAATTATTTTTAATTTTAATACTTTAATTTCATTTAATAAATAATCTTGAACTATAATTGGATCATTTGTGCCAACGGGATTTGATCTGCTTGATAATGGATTCTTTGATTTAGATGTGGTTGTGGTTGTTGCTGCTGGTGCTGGTGTTGGTTGTTGTAGAGATTGCTGTTGGTGTTGTATTTGTTGTTGTTGTATTTGTTGTATTTGTTGCACTTGTTGTATTTGTTGTTGTTGATGATGCTGTTGTTGTTGTAGTTGTTGTCTAAGAGTATTAATTTGGTTCTTTAAATCTTTTTCCATTTGATTCTTTTCATCAAGCAGTGATTTATATTTCTTTTCGGTTTCAACGTCCATTACTTGATTATTGTTTTTGGAAGATATAGTATTTGTTGGGTTTATTTGTGGTGGTGGAGGTGATGGAGATGGTGAAGTTGAAGGTGATGATGAACCAGAACTATATGCTGTCATTATAGTGCCATTTGTTTTTGTTACAAAATTATTGGGCATTTCAAATGATTCATTTTTATTATCATTTAAAAGTATATTATTTATATTAATATTTGATCTAGTATGTGGTGATAATGTATCTTTTGGGCTATCGATGGGCGAGTCACATGAAGATAATAACATATTTAATTTGTGTGTTACTTCGGGTGTTGGTGAAACTGGTGTATTTAATCCCATTTCCTATAAAAAAAAAAATTTTAATTAATAAAATTTAATAAAATTTGAAATAAAATTTAAATACCTACACTACCGCTATCTTTGAATTTTTTTAACGATGGGTTTGTTGAGTCCTTTGGTGAATCCCTTTTTTTACTATTTTTAAGTGTTGATTCTAATAAATATATACCACTAGTTTTTATGAGTGAATCTTTATTACTTGGTGGTGTGTTTATTGCTTTTAAATTTAATTTTGGTACAGGAATCGTTTTAGCTGATCCATTATTTTCAAATACTTCATCTTCATCCAAAACAATTGTTGATGGTAGTGTCATTTTATTTTTAATTATTTAGTGTTATTGTTTTATTTTATTAATATTTTATTGCTATTTATTATATATAATTAACTATTATAATTGGTATATGTATAATTTTTGAGTGAAGGGGCTATTTATATGTTGATTGATTGGTTGATGATAAAAAGAAAAAAAAAAAAATAAAATAAAAACTTTTTTTAAAATTTAATTTATAAAAAAAAAAAAAAGGTTGGGTTTTTTTATTTTTATTTTTATTTTATTGTAGTTGTAGATGTTGTTGTTGTTGTTGTCTTTTTACTTTATTTTATTTTTTGGTACTGTTACTATAAAGAAAAAAAATCAAATATTATAATAAAAAAACATATAAATTCTCTACTTTGGTGATTAGAAGTTAAGGAAAAAAAAATTTTATAAAATTTAAAAAAATATTGGAAAAAAAAAAAAAAAAAATTTTTATAAATCTATTATTTTGTGTGAGTTTTGTTTTTTTGTGTGTAATGACTCTTTTTTTAAATTTTGGGGATGATGATTTGAATTATAATTAGTTTTCTATTAAAGTTTACCTATAATAATTTAAAAAAAAATTTAAAAAAAAAAAAAGTTATTGGTTGGTTTTTTTGAGAGCGCACCAGATATCTATGTTAGGTTGGATCTCAGTTTTGAGATTTTTATTTATTTTTTTTTTTTTTTACATACCCACCAATATTGCGTGCAAGAATTAATTTATTATGATTTAAAAATGTAGTGTTTAATAAATTGATTTTTTTTAATATATATTTTATTTTGTGCTATTAATTTTTATACATATATTTATTTATTATATATATTTTTATAAATATATTTTTTTTTTTCTTTTTTTTTTTTTTTTTAGTATTATTTATATAATTGTTACTGTGATGTTTTATTAATAAAAAAAAAACAATTATTAAAAGATATTTTTTTTAAAATGAGTTTAAAGAAAAAAATATATTGGTGATGATTTTTTTAGAACGAGTGTTTTTTGTGTGAGTTTTGTTTTATGCGAAGTGAGAATAACTTTTTTGTGTGTGCGTTTTGGCATGCCTTTTTTTTTATTTTTTTTTTTTTTTGATTAATTATTGGGCATTAAATTCACAGTTTGCCAAGATATTTGGGTTTTTCTTTTTTTTTATCAATTTAATTTATTTTCTTTTTATTAGAGTCTGGAGGAATATAATACACGACATTCTATAAAATGGGATTTAAAAATGGGATTAAATTTGAAAAAAAATAAAAAAAAATATATATGCGAAATATAAAAGTGTAATAATATATATATTGTGATAGATTATAAAATCAAAACTTTTTTTTTTTTTATATGTTCAACAAACAAAATAAAAATAAAAAAACAACTGTTATTGGCGAAGTATTAATTGCCATTTAATTTTCCTTGATCTTCCGCACAACAAAAAAGGATTTACCTTTTTATAAGTTTTTTTATTATTATTTTTAATGATTTATTTATTTTACAAAAAATGATAAATGAAAATGAATAAAATAACTTTGTATTAAATTACATTTTTTAAAAAAAAAAAAAGAATATTTTAGGGGCATATTATCCAAAAATATTTGTTATTGGATCAAAATTAAAAATAATATATAGTTATGTGATAACTTCAAATAAAAAAAAATAAATAAAAAAAATAAAAATAAAAAAAATAAAAATAATTAAAAATTAAAAATTAAAAAAAAAAAAAAATTAAAATATGAATTTTTTTTTATTTTTTAAAATAAATTAATAATACACATACACAAACAATGGAAATTGAAAATAATAATAATATAACAAACAACGACAATGAATCAGATACAGAAACCATCCAACGATTAATGAAGCAAAGATCTGAAATGGAAAAAGAACTTGAGGGATTAATGGAATTCCTTAAGAGTGGTAACGGTAAACAGTTTGGTTTAAAAGGTTCATTTGTAGATAGTGAAGGTTATCCCGTAAGTATAATATCATTATAGAAATAATATTAATAGCAATAATAAAAATAAATAAAATAACTATGAATTTGAATAGTTTATAATACATTTAAAATTGTAAAATATTAATAAAATCTAAATAGTCACCACATTTAGAGCTTATTATTGAAGTTAAAAAAGCAAGGAGCAGAATTGCACATCTCCAAAACGATTATAAGGAACTTATGAAAAATATCGAGGATCATTTACAAAAACTACACAAAAAATCCCCAATTCAACAATCACAAACATCATCAATCAATTCAGGTTTAAAGACAAACGAAGATAAAATGGATATCGAAAATAACAATAGCAGTGTAAATAACACCATAACAAATACTGATACCAATAAAACAACAACCGAAATGGAGCCAATTCCAATACCATTTGTATATATTGATTTAGTTACAGAAGGTTCACCCTCAGATAAAGCAGGTTTTAAAAGAGACGATCTCATTTATCAATTTGGTACCGTTGGTCCATTTTATAATGAAAGCGATTGCACCGAATCTAAAAATACCAATCATCTTCAATCAATTGCAACCATTGTGCGTAATAGTGAAAACAGGGCAATATCAATTAAATTATTAAGAGGCAATAATCAAAAAGTTTCAACATCATTAATACCCCGTAAATGGAATGGACAGGGCTTAATAGGGTAAGTTAATTAAAATACAATTATATTATCATATTTTTATATAAATTTGTGTATGGATAAAAAAATATAAAATATTAACTTTTTTATTTTTTTTCAAATAAAATTTTATAGATGCTTAATAAAACCATTATAAACCAAATATTAATAATTAAAAAATAAAATAAAATAAAATAAAATAAAACAATTTAGACAATATTTTTTTTTTTCATTAACTTTATTTAGAAATATATAATCATATTTGACCTGTATATTGCATGGGTTTTTTTAAATTTTTTTTTTTTAATAAAAAAAATTAAAAAAAAAAATTTTCAATTGATCAATTGAAATTTTTCAAATTTTTTTTATTTTTTTTTTTTTATTTATTCCAAAATCATAATTTCTAAAAACCTATAGTTTGTATATAATATAAACTATAATATATAGGTATGTAAAATATAAATAAATTTTATTTTTTTGGTGTGGGTGGATTTATATGGAAAATAATTTTTTTTTATTTTGTGGGTTCTGATTTAGTACCCCCACATTCTTTTTATATTACAAACATAGTATAGTAAAAAATAAATTTAATAACAGAATTAAATTAATATAAATTAATTAAACTTAATAAAATAATTTTAATAAAACATTTTTTTTGTTGCATTTACTTATTTTCCTTTTCTTTTTATTTGTTTTTTTTAATTTGTTTTTATAAAATAGAGGATCAGATTTTTATATTTGTATAAAAATAGTTTTAATATTGTTAATTCAATACTTGTTATTTTACCAAGAAACCTCACCTAAACAGCATTGTATATATAGAATAATAAAAAAAAAAAAAAAAAAACAACTCTTATTTATTTAAAAGTAAATTAATTTATATAAATAATTAAAATAATAAAAAACATTCGTATTATTATTTAAAATACAAGCTAAGCAATACTTTGTATTGTATTTTTATATATAAATAATATTCAATTACTATTTTACTCTTTTTGTTATTTCCCCACTTTTTTTCTATCTACAAATTACATTTAAAATTTTTTAAACTTATCCAACTTTATAAACATCATAAACCACAATCTCTCTTTTTCAAGCTCTTTGCTACCAAGACATAACACAATAACAAAAAAAATAATAAAAAAATAAAACCACCACACAATTTTAATTTATTTAAATTTAATACTACTAAAATTCAACAACTTTAAATATTTTATTCATATATATGAATATATAAAAATATTGTGATAACAAATAATTAATAATAACGAAAATTTTAACTAAACAACATATACATTACTACCACTAACAAAATAACCCCACTTTATTACTACAACATAAAATAGTTCCATCTTTTTTTTTTTTTTTTTTAAATTTCAGGAGGAAATTTAAGAAATAAAAATAATTTAATATACAATAAAAACAACACAATAAGATAATTATTTTTAAAAAATTTTAATGTATTTTTTTAATATTTAAATCATTTTATTTTAAATATCACTTATTATAATATATTTTATAATAATAAAATATTTTTTTATTTTTTTTAAATCATAAATTTTTTTTTTTTGCTAACTTTTTTTTTTTTTATAAAAATTTAATTAGATTAAAAAATGTTAAAAGGAATTGAAATTAGAGCAAATATTGATCAAAATGTTCAAAAAATTTTAAACAATGAATGTTTAGAATTTCTCTCACAATTAGAAAGAAGATTTGGCGGTATTAGAGATAATTTATTGCAAAAAAGAAAAGAAAGACAAGATCAAATTAATGGTGGTATTCTCCCAGAGTTCTTAGAATCAACCAAGGCAGTTCGTTCAGGTGATTGGAAATGTTTACCAGTACCACAAGAAATTCAAGATCGTCGTGTTGAAATTACTGGTCCAACAGACAGAAAGATGGTTATCAATGCTTTAAATAGTGGTGCCAAAGTATTTATGGCTGATTTTGAAGATGCCAATTGCCCAAATTGGGAAAATTCTATCTATGGCCAAATTAATATGATTGATGCAAATAGTAGAACCATCTCATATACCTCACCAGATCGTAGAGAATACAAACTTAATAAGGATGTTGCAATTCTTTTTGTTAGACCAAGAGGATGGCACTTAAATGAAGAACATATTTATATTGATGGTAAAGCAATGTCTGGTTCACTTTTCGATTTTGGTTGCTATATTTTCCATAACCATCAAATTTTAAAAAATAGAAACTCAAGTCCATACTTTTATTTACCAAAATTAGAAAGTCATTTAGAAGCTAGATTATGGAATGTAAGTATTTCTAAATAGTTTTAAATTTTATATCCACCAATTACTAATTTTCATATAATTGAATTCAATTTTTCTGTAGGATGTATTTGTATTTTCACAAGAATATTTAAAAATGCCAATTGGAACTATTAAAGCTACAGTTTTAATTGAAACTATTTTAGCCTCATTCGAAATGGATGAAATTTTATACGAACTTAGACAACATTCAGCAGGTTTAAATTGTGGCAGATGGGATTATATTTTTAGCTTTATTAAGAAATTCCAAAACTATCCAAACTTCATATTACCAGATAGATCCAAGGTCACAATGACAAGCCCATTTATGGACACTTACGTTAAACTTTTAATCTACACTTGTCATAGAAGAGGTGTTCACGCTATGGGTGGTATGGCTGCTCAAATTCCAATTAAAAACAATAAAGATGCAAATGATGCCGCTATGGAAAAAGTTAGATTAGACAAATTAAGAGAGGTAAAAGCAGGTCACGATGGCACATGGGTCGCCCATCCAGCTCTCATCCCAATTGCAATGGAACAATTTAACCAAAACATGAAAAATGCAAACCAAATTGACTACATCCCACAAACACCAAACTTTTCCCAAATTCAAAAATCATTATTAGAAGTATCAAAAATTAAACCAGGAGATATCACTGAAGAAGGTTTCAGAAGCAACATTGTTGTTGGTATCGAATATCTTGAAGCTTGGTTAAATGGTAATGGTTGTGTTCCAATTTTTAATCTCATGGAAGATGCTGCCACTGCTGAAATTTCCAGATCACAAATTTGGCAATGGATTAGACACAGAGCCCCACTCCCAAATGGAAAACCAATTGACATCAACTATTATAACAATCTTTTAAGCGAAGAAGTTTCAAAATTAGAAAAAGCTCATCCAAAATCAACAACCCTTAAACAAGCCATTTCAATTTTCAACAATCTTATTGTTTCACCAACATTTATCGATTTCTTAACTCCATCATGTTATAATGCTATTGTTAGTTCTGAAAAAGTTAATTCACCATCAGGTTCTGCAAAATTATAATATAATATAATATAATTTACTTTTAAAATATAATATAAATAAAAATATAATAAACCCTAACAATATTTATTTATTTTTTTATATATAAAAAAATTATTTTATTTTTTTAATCTTTAAATTTTTTATTAAAACTATTTTTTGAAAATAACTTTTTAGTTACAAATGTTTCCTTGTCATTTGAAGATGATAATAAGAAAACTAATAATACACCAATTAATAACATACCAATTATTGGTAATAATGATGATGATGTCCCTTTCTCTGTAATATAAATGGAATAGCCCTTTAGGGTTGTGATTAAGAAATCGTTAATTCCGTCGTTGTTAAAGTCACCAACAATAGGAGGAGCCATAACTGGATTGGTTTCGGAGCTATCTAATGGTTGCTCTAAAACCATATCACCCTTTTCACTTACAATGGCCATCATACGTTCGCCCACGGCTAGAATAAATGGTACAAGTCTATTGGTATCGCTTTCGAATGAAAATACTTGTAATGATGGTTGGGTAATTGGCTCGATATGTCTTGTCCAGTGAATATTGGTTTCTATCTTCCACATTTTAGAACCCTTTGAATTGAAACTTGAAATTAAACCAGTGTTTACTAAAAATACCATTTGGATTTGGTCGTTTTCTGATGATCTAAAGAATGCTGGTGGTATTGTTTGAATAAGTCTTTCGTTTTTGGTTGACTTGGTCTTCTTTTTATTATTTAAATTATTTTTATCTGTGCCCTTCCACATAAAATATTCGAAATCAAACATTCCTTCATTACAAATCTTTAAATCAAATATTTTTTCACGTGCTGGTATACCTGACATACCCAATGCTTTACATACTGTTTCTTTACCACCATCTTCACCTAATCCCTTAAAACTACCTGCATATGTTGTAATTTGGTCCAATACTCCATCACCATTTAAATCAATATATGAAATAAAATAATTTCCATTACTGTGAAAGTCTGAACTATCTAAAACCAATCTACATAATGTATTGCCACTTGAAATTTGAACCACTTCAAGACCATTCTAATAATTTAAATATTATAAAAATATATATTAAAAAATGTTTTAAACAATAATATTGCTTTATGTTTATTTACCTTATTGTGTGCTACAATAACATTAGGATCTTTAATATTTGATTGAAAGTTTGCTTTATCTTGACTTTTTAAAATTGAAAATGATTCTAAATTTGATGGGTTTACTCCTATCACTTTGATATGAAAAAAAAAAGAAATTAGTATCCATCCAAACTATTAAAATAGTATGTGGTGTTGATAATTACATTCACTATCCCACTCTTGATTATTTAAACCTGTTGTGGTAGAGGTTTCTACATTTCCTCTAACTGTATTGATTTTTTTGCTAAAGTGTCTTGCGTCAAGTTTTGTATCATAACCTGTTGACCATTTATGTGGTAATGCTGCTAAAACTGAATCTCTATAAGTTCTCCAATCAACCTCACCTAAATGATCCAATTGACTATAAATATGTTGTTTAAAGCTGTGTAATGAAACATCCTACAAATAAAAAACTAGCATTAATACAATGTATAAAACCTTCTATTGGTATATAACCCTAATAATTACAGATTCTTTTCTATGCTCTTCATCAGTATGTTTATTAACTGGCATAAAATCATTTTCTTCATGACTCCAAATTTTATAACCCTTTTCACCATCATATGCAAAATATGAAAAATGACTTTCATCACGGTGTGTTTCTTTTTCATGGTCATCATCTCTTTCGTGGCTATGTTCCTCATTAGTCTCTATTTTGCCCTCATACATTGGAATTTTATAATGTGATTTATGGACATATCCTTCCATTGGCTCCATTCTACCACCTATAATTACCATACCTTTATCTGAATTTGGTACAATTGAAATTGAAATTTCACTTTATTTAAAAAATATTAATAAATAATAAATATGCTGTTATTAGTGAAATAGTACATACGATTGATAATGATTTGGTAATACCTCGTCAGATGCATAACTCTCCCATAACTTTTTTAATTGATGATTAAAACACAATATTGACCAACCATCAGTTACAACTACAATAATCTGCTGTCTTGGTACACCTGGTACATATGGTGATGTAAATCCAGTTTTGATTGATGTTGGTCTTCTACCAGTTGCTAAACCAACTTCTGATTTTAATGATACTTGATATTTAATTGGCAATTGAAGTAGGTTTTTTTCTGATAGCTCATTTTCATTTAATCTAAATAATTCTATATTTTCGTATGTAACTGTTTCTAAAACTATTAATCTATAATCATTTGTAACATATATAATTTCTATAAAAAATTAAAAAATTAAAAAAAAAAAGGATCAGTAAATAAATAAAATATTTTATAAAATAATAAGTTTATAATTACCATTTTTACCATCACCATCAATATCTGTTATAATAGGTAATGGAAGATATTCGTTGATCTTGGGATAATGTGAATTATCATAATTATTTGTGTCAATCGGTATCTCTAGTAATAAACTTATTTTATAATCTTTTTGTCTATATAGTGATATAAATATTACAACAAGACTTAATAATAATAACCATGTATCTCTTTTCCTCATTTTACATTTACACACATATATGAAATTAAATTAAAAAAAAAAAAATTTTAAAAACTTCATTTTTTTTTTTTTTTAATTTTTTCTTTTTTTTTATTTAATAAAAAAAAAAAAAGATTAAATAATATTTATCTTTTTTTATTGAATAATTATTTTGATAAATTTTTTTATTAAATTATTTTTTTTAGTTAAAATAAAAAAAAAAAAAATTATATTATAAATATTAAATTAAACTAATTAAATTGTTACTTTTTAATTGATTAAAAATTAAAACCAAATTTAAAATTAAAATCGAAATCGAAATCAAAAATAAAAATCAAAGTTAAAATCAAAATCAAAATTAAAATTAAAATAAAGTTAAAAAATAAAAATTATAAAATAAAAATTATAAAAATTATTACATTCTGGATTTAAAAAAAAAAAACATAATCCAATTGAATTATTTTTAAATATGTATAAAAAAAAAACTAAGGTTGGTTGAGGGAAAAAAAAACGAAATTGAAAATTCTTTAAATCCAAAAATAAATAATAATAAAATAAATTAATTGATATATATACACTTTCTAATATTGTAATTACAAATATATATATATATATATATTATAATATTTAATATAAATTTTAATATTAAATTAATATTTATTATTTTTACTTTTTTTGTTTTTATAAAGTTTTTTAGAGTTTGGGAAATCATTTGCATCAAACTAAACCAAATACACCGGGCAATTAATTTGCTTTCATTTTTTTTTGAATTTTTTTTAAAAAAAAATTTATTTTTTATTTTTTTTTTTAATTTTTTTTTTTTTTTTTTTTTTTTTTGGTGGTACGGTGCTGCGCAAAATTTTTTTTTTTTTTTACAATAGTAGTTTTTCCATCACAGAGCTCATAAAATGTTTTCAAAGGTAGAAAGAGAGAAATTTATTTGTATATAAAAGAAATTTGTCATACGAATAAAAAAAAAATAAAATAATAATAAAAATGATGAACGATGATGATTATATAACCACACAAATTTCAACAAATTAAATAAATCAATTACAGCTAAAAGAAAAAAATAATAATAAAAAAAAAAAAAACGAAACAAATAATTTATTTATTTGTATTATATTTATATAAAAAAAAAATTAAACTCGATAAATAAATATTGGATTGTAGTAGTAATGATAGAATAAAAAAAATAAAATAGGGCTATTCGTTTTTTTGGAAAAAAAAAAATCGTAAATCACACACTCACACAAAACTCACAGCGTAGAAAAATATTTTAGGGTTTAGCATAATAAATATAATCATTTTATGGAAAATAGTTATCTCAAAATCAATAGACTTGTCATCATCATTTTTACAATTTTTTTTTTTTTTTTTTCGTATTTTCTTTTTATATATATATTTTTATAAAATAATGTAGAGAAAATCACTAATAATTTTTTTTCTTTTTAATTCACAACAGAACCAAATTGTCATTGACGCCAAAGGTCACCTCTTAGGTAGATTAGCTGCCAAAGTTGCCAAGGGTAAATATTATTTAAAAAAAAAAAGATTAGATAAAAAAAAAAAAAGGAAAAAATATTAATTGGGGAAATTATTATAATTATAGAATTATTATCAGGTCAATCCATCGTTGTTGTTCGTTGTGAAGAACTCAACATCAGTGGTCCATTATACCGTAACAAATTAAAATGGGCTGATTTCCTCAACTTAACCATGAACACCAATCATGCTCGTGGTCATCGTCACGCTCGTTCACCATCAAAAATCTTCTGGAGAGCCGTCAGAGGTATGTTACCACACAAAACTGCTCGTGGTCAAGCTGCCTTAGACAACATGAAAGTCTTCGAAGGTGTCCCAACCCCATACGACAAAGTTAAAAGAGTCGTCGTCCCAAGCGCTCTTCGTGTTGTTAAATTAAACACCACCAGAAAATACACCAACTTAGGTAGACTTGCCCAAGAAGTCGGTTGGAAATACCGTTCAGTTGTTGCCAAACTCGAAGTCCAAAGAAAACAAAGATCATCAACTTATTACCGTAAAGCTGCTTTAATCAAATCATACAGAGCTCAAGCCCTCAAAAAATTCACCGCTTAAAAGAATAAATTGAGACATATAAAAATTTTATAAAAAAAAAAAAAAAAAACCATATTATTTTTAAAAAAAAAAAGACTTTATTTTTGTATTTTTTATTTTTTTTATTACATTTATCTGTTATATTTTTTATTTGTATTTGTATTTTTTATCTGATCACATCACTTTTTCAAAAAAAAAAAACAAAACTAATCATTATTATCTCTTTTTATTAGAAAAAAATTACTGAGAAATAATTATTGTCGTATTATTACCCACAAAAAATATTTTTATTTTTTAATTTTATTATTTTTAATTTTAAAACAAAATTTTTTTTTTTTTTTTTCATTTTTATTAAAATAACACCCTATATAAAACACACTACTTTTTTTTTTTCATTCTTTCATTTTTTAATATTTCATTTGGTTATGGAGATATGTAGTAATGAATAATAATAATTATAATAGTATTAATGGTAATAATAATAATGTTAATAAAAACTCAAATACCAACAACAATATTAATAATATAGCAAACAATAGTAATAATGCAGTACATCATAACAATAACAATAATAATAATAATAATAATAACAGTATAGCCAAACCATTTTATAATAATCATTTTTATTTAAATGAAAATAATGAAAATATATACCCAACCAAACAAAAATGTTATTTTAAATTATTTATTTCAGATATTTATAGATTAAAGTATGTTACAACATCCAAAAGATTTTTATTTCAACAAAGAATACCCACGAAATATATAGAGATATTTGGACATATTGTATCTTTTCAAAAGAAAAAAAAATTTGGTTTAATGACAATAGAGATGACTTTGGATGATGGGACAGGGTCTGTAGAATGCGAATATTTTTTAATAGATACACCAGACCCAAAGTTCTCAACCAATCAAAACCCAATTAGAAAGTTGACTTATTTTTTTTAAAGATGTACCATATTCGTTAGGTTTCCATTTTATTTAGGATTTGGGGAATTTTTAAAAAATGATACCTTTCGGAAAATAAAATTATTTGGTAAGAGTCCAATAATATTGGTAAAGATATCTTTATCTAATATATAATTTAAAAATTAAATTCTAATTGTTTTTTTTTTTTTAAAAAAAAGAGGTTATAAATGACCCAAACAAAGAGATGTTTTTATGGTTAGAGTATATCAAAATTCAAAAAGAATATTATTTCCCATATGTTAAATATGTCAATAGTTTAATATTTTCAAATATTTCAGATAATACAGTTGACGATCAAAAAATTGGTAATAACAATAATAATAACGAATCAATTAGCAAATTCATGCCAGCTAGAATAACTACACCTTTAAGTAACATTAAAATTAAAATTCCATCTCTTCCACAATTTAATCCTATAAAAGCCAGTGCAATAAATAATAATAATAATAAAGTTAATAATAATAATAATAATAATAATAAAAGTAATATTAATATTAATAATAATAATAATATTAATAATAATAGTAATAATAATAGTAATAATAATAATAATAATAATAATAATAATAATAATAATAATAATAATAATAATAATAATAGTAACCTTTTTAATAGAAATAATATAAACAATAGTAATATTAGTAATGGTAATATCAATAATAAAAATATAAACAACAAAAGATTAGCAGAGGAGCTTAGGAAAATCGATAGTATTTTATTTAAAAAAAATAAAAAGGAATAGAATATTTGGGATATTTAAAAAATCAATTAGCTTTTTCATATTATCCAAAATTCACTTTTCAGTTTTTTAAAAAATAAAAAAATAACAATTTGTTAACATATTTTAATAACGAATAATCATGATCGTGGCGATCTAAATCCATTCTCGAGAAATAAAAAATGTATGTATGATATCCTATATAAACAAAGTTTCTTATTTTTATTTTATTTTTTATAGAAATTTGATTTGGTTTATGTTTCTTCTTTGAAGGAAAAAAAAAACTAAATATCATGTTTGGTAGATATAAAAAAAAATCACCACACAACACA